AAAAAATTATCCGTTAGCTTATATTTTCTGGTTCCAGCAAGTTAAACCACAATATTTTAGCTCCATAACAAGAAATATAAAGAACTAAATTAAAATGACTCAAAGTGGGAACGAAAAATAACTAATTTTAACTTAAAAGACGTAAAACGGATGCATTATGTGTTAATTTCTCAACACATATCAGTAATCTTGAGGAGGACGTTTATGTCGCTCAACCGTTGGGATATGAAGTCAAAGGTGAAGAACACAAGGTTTATAAATTAAAAAAGGCCTTGTATGGGTTAAAGCAGGCTCCACGAGCCTGGTTTAGCAGAATTGAAGGCTACTTTACTAAGTAGGGGTTTGAGAAAAGTTGTCATGAACATACCTTGTTCATCAAAAGGAAAGAAAGCAAGATCTTGATTGTAAGTCTTTACGTAGATGACCTCATTTTCACAAGTAATGATTTTCTTATGATACAAAATTTTAAAAATTCTATGAAAAAGGAATTTGAAATGACCGACTTGGGTTAGATGAAGTATTTCTTGGGGGTCGAGGTTCGTCAAACAGAGAAAGGCATCCACATTGGTCAAAAGAAATATGCCAGGGAAATTTTTGAACGATTTGGATTAGGCGATTGCAATGGTGTAAAAAATCCCATGGTTCCTGGAAGCAAACTGTCCAAGGAAGATGGCGGGGAACAATGTGATGCAACTTTGTTCAAACAAATGGTAGGAAGCTTAATGTATATGACCACCACTAGACCAGACTTGATGTACTCTGTGTGTGTGTGTCTCATAAGCAGATACATGTCGGACCCAAATGAGGCACACATGTTGGCGGCCAAAAGAGTTTTGAGGTATATTAAAAGCACTATTGATCTCAGTATATTTTATAAAAGAGGGTGTGAAGCTGAGCTATCCGCTTATATTGATAGTGATTATGCGGGAGATATCGACGATCGTAAAAGTACTTCTGGTTATGTGTTTATGATGAGTGGTGGAGCAGTAGCTTGGGCGTCCAAGAAACAACCTGTGGTGACCTTCTCAACCACAGAAGCAGAGTATGTGGCCGCTGCCTTTTGTGCAAGTCAGTGTATTTGGATGCAACAAATCCTCAAACAGATCGAAGACAGCAGATCCAAGTGTGTAAGAGTTCGGTGTGATAATTCTTCCACCATTAAGCTTGCAAACAACCATGTTTTCCATGGAAGAAGTAAACACATTGATGTAAGGTTTCATTTTCTGAGAGATCTTACAAAAGAGGGTACAATTACTATAGAATACTGCAGGACTGAAGACCAACTTGCAGACGTTATGACGAAGCCGCTGAAATTAGATCAATTCGAGAAGCTGAGAGGGCTACTAGGTGTTCAAGCAGTTGAAGACTAAATCAAATGTTGTTAGCATGTTTGATTTAGGGGAAGAATTGTTGAAGAATTTTGAATAATTCTTTGTTGCTTTCAATAAGGTTTCCTAGTTTATAGGAACGATTAGGTGAAGTTTGTTTGTTTTGAATTAGTCTTCTTAGCCAGTTAGCTAGTTCCTGTTTTATAGCTTGTTCTTTTCAAGTATTGGCTATATATAGCCCTGTTTCTCTTCAATAAATGAAAGAGTTTGAAGTTGTAAAAACAATTGTGTTCAACACAAATTTCATTGGCCATAAATATTGGTTCAACGCCATTCATGGAAACTGTGAGAATGAATCTAAAAATTTAATGAAACCTTCAAGACCACTTTTTCCGTTCACTTAACAGGTTTACAATTGCAATACATATGATCATCAAACAAATGACGATAAATGGGGTCATTTATGCACTTCAACATACACGTGGTATGTACTATATCCACAAACTGGATTTACTTGATGAGTTAAATTTCGTTGGGTACAAATAATGGTGCAACTCTATTTCATTAATAAAGTGAGAATGACCGCCAAAAAATTCATGAACTTTGTTGGTTCACTACCCATATGGAAATTTAAGGACTTTCGTTAAATTTTCTAACCTTTTTTAGAATCCATGGATTCTTTTGATGTTTCTGCTCTTCCTCTTCTACCTGATTTTTCCATGGACATTTTGAGTTAAGTGTTTTCTTCTTATTCATGTATATCAACACTATCTACAGTGTTTTTGAACTTGGAAAATGAGTACTTATACATTTATTAGCTCCCTATGTATCTTCCCTGATGAATAACAATAACCCTAATGTTAGGTTTTCATGAATGAAATCGATTCACCACTTCATATAATCTGTGCTGAAACCGGAAAGAAAGGATATTTACTTTGATTCGTGCAATACCGATTTCTGATTTCCTTCCATCGTTTTTGGATTATCACCCTCTCAAGATTCTAGTAGCAGTATGCGATTCTCGTGGGTAATGTAAAACAATGAAGCCGATTTACCGTTCTCAAACAACATTCTTCATATTTCTTATTCCCAAAGTACCCCACATTTGCATTCTTTATTTTTATAAATATTAGAAATTAATTCCATTAGATCATGTCTTGATCGTTGATGAAAGAATGAAGGGTTGAAATGGGGTTGTATTAGTTGTAAGAATTGATGAGGTCGCATAATAAACCACCTCTATATATGTGCGTGCATATATGTATATTTTTTATATGAAGTAATGATGGTTAATTGTTTATTTTTTTGTTGCAGATGGTTGTATTTTCTGTTTCACTCTCAATTCTATACTTTGGTAAAATTGACATTAAAGTGATTGTTAGGTTGTCTCCATTTGCTGGTGATATGCAAAATATAACAATTTTTATAGTCAAGTTTCACATTATACCTAATAAAAAACAATTCTTCTTCCTACTTGCTAAAAAGATAATGATGCGTGCTTAGAGATTGTACTTTCTTTTAATGTGTGCAGATGGATGAGTTAGCATGCTTTGCACCATAAATTATATCATTAGAGTCATCTGGTTATGGTCCTGCTAATTCCACAAAATTCTTAAATTTGGCCGAAGAGGTGTGCTACTGGCTATCACTGAAAATTTGTACTGTAATTTCTTAAGAAGTCTACCTTACACCTAACACATATTAAACTCCATCTGTCCAAAATAAAAGCAACAATTTCCTTTGTGGCTTCTCTAAAAATAGAGGCTACACATTTTCCTTTTGAGTAAGAGTTCAATAACGTTTACTCTTACGCATTTGTTGTGCAACTTTGGTAATACTGATTTAGTTTGCAAGTTCTATTTATTCCCCCCCCCCCCCCTTATTGAGGATCATCTTACATGAGGGATTATTATCTTAAAGCACTTTGGCCACCATTTTGACCAATTATTTTGTGGCCTCTAAATGTAGCTTGCTTGGACATGCTATCACTTCTATCAGTCCACACCAACGAAGTTGGCTTGAGAAAATTATTTCTTTCATTAAGAGCAGGTTAGTTATCTGATTAATGTAATTGATCAAATTTTGGGAGATGATCTGTTTTCTTATATGTTAATGTTACCATTATTCTAGGACATGACTGTAGGTACATCATGGAACGTATTGAGGTCAGACACGGTTGAATCGCTCTTTTACCTCTGGCATTTGACCGGTAGTAACATGTATCAAAAATGGGGGTGGAACATATTTCAAGCTTTTGAAAAGAACTCGTGTGTGGAGGCAGGATATTTTGCACCGAAGGATTTAAGTACTCTGTCCATAATTTTAAAAGTGCTAGAGTTTTTACTTAAGTATACTCCACATCAAAGACTGGAAAGTGGCTCTTATTTTACATGTTAGTATCAATATTTCTTTGGACCATATCACTACTAGAAAACTAAGCATTTCCGAAGCAGTTTTCCGGCGGCGTTCCGGCGGACGCTAAAAAAGTCAACATTTTATTGACTTTCAACAATTTCCGGCGGATTTTTTAATTTTTTTTCTAAAAAAAGAGTAAACAATTTTCCGGCGGATTTCCGGCGGAAAAATAAATAATTTTTTAATATTTCCAGCAGATTTCCGGCGGATTTTTTATTTTTTTTCTTAAAAAAAGAGTAAACATTTTTCCGGCGGATTTCCGGAGGAAAAATAAATAATTTTTTAAAAAAAATTTAACATTTCCGGCGGATTTTTTAATTTTTTTTCTAAAAAAAGAGTAAACAATTTTCCGGAGGATTTCCGGCGGAAAAATAAACAACTTTTTTTAAAAAATCTAACATTTCCGGCGGATTTATTTATTTTTTTTCTTAAAAAAAGAGTAAATATTTTTCCGGCGGATTTCCGGCGGAAAAATAAATAATTTTTTAAAAAATTTAATATTTCCTGCGGAAAATTAAATAATTTAAAAAAAAAGGAATAAACATTTTTCCGGCGGATTTCCGGCGGATAAATAAATAATTTTTTAAAAAAACTTTAATATTACCGGCGGATTTCCGGCGGAAAATTAAAAAAATTATTTAAAAAAGAAATAAACCATTTTCGGGCGGATAATTAAATAATTTTTCTAAAAAAAGAATAAACAATTTTCTAGCGGATTTCCGGCGGATAATTAAATAATTTTTCTAAAAAAATTACCATTTCCAGCGGATTTCCGGCGGAAAATTAAATAATTTTTTTAAAAAAAAGAATAAACCATTTTCCGGCGGATTTATGGCGGAAAATTAGATAATTTAAAAAAAAAGAATTAACAATTTACCGTATTGGGCTTTAATGAACCGTATTAGGCTTTAATGAACCGTATTGGGATTTAATGAACCGTATTGGGTTTTAATGAACCGTACTGGGCTTTGGTGGAATCGTATTGGGCTTTCATGAACCGTATTGGGCTTTCATGAACCGTATTGGGCTTTAATGAACCGTATTGGACTTTAATGGATCGTATTGGGCTTTAATCGACCTTATTGGGTATTAATGGACCGCATTGGGCTTTAATGGAAGTATTGGGCTTTCCGGCGAACCGTTGGGCTTTAATGAACCGAATTGAGTTTTAATGGAAGTATTGGGCTTTTATGAACCGTTGGGCTTTAATGAACCGTATTGGGCTTTTATGAACCATTGGGCTTTAATGAACCATATTGGGATTTAATGGACCGTATTGAGATTTAATGAACCGTATTGGGCTTTAATKAASCGTATTGGGATTTAATGAACCGTATTGGGCTTTAATGAAGCGTATTGGGATTTAATGAACCATATTGGGCTTTGGTGGAATCGTATTGGGCTTTGGTGGAATCGTATTGGGCTCTAATGAACCGTATTGGGCTTTAATAAACCGTATTGGGCTTTAATGAACCGTATTGGGCATTAATGAACAGTATTGGGCTTTAATGAACCGTATTGGGATTTAATGGACCATATTGGGTTTTAATGGATCGTATTGGGCTTTAATGGACCTTATTGGGTATTAATGGACCATATTGGGCTTTAATGGAAGTATTGGGCTTTCCGGCGAACCGTTGGGCTTTAATGAACCGTATTGGGCTTTAATGAACCGTATTGGGCTTTTATGAACCGTACTAGGCTTTGATGAACCGTATTGGGCTTTAATGAA